ATATATATATATATATATATCAAAAAAAGATAAAATAGAAATTTTATTCAAAAAATTCTAAAAATTATTTAATGTCTCAATTTCATTATCATTAAATTTAATTACATTTTTGGTAAATATTTACAAGTGGGTCAACAATTTTAATATTAATTTTTTTTAACGAAATTTCTATTTGATTTTATTGATATCTTTTTTTTTTAAAAAATACATATGTATATAAATGAACAATTAAAAAAAAAAAAGAAGCTGATTATCACAATTTTAACAAATTTTCAAAAAATTTATAAATTTTTTTAGAAAATTGTGAAGTTCAACTTTTTTTTTTTTAATTGTTTGTTTTTTTATGTACTTTTTAAAAAATATATATATATATATATATCAAAAAAAGATAAAATAGAAATTTTATCCAAAAAATTAATTTTTCACTTAGTTATGGCCCAATTGTAAATAATTACCGTATTTTTAAACAAGAATAATTACTGACCTTAATTTATACTTTGATAGTTCGCCAGCTGGAGGACGAGATAGAGATAACTCATTGTGAAAATTCGTTGACTGAAGAAAAGCGTCGAGAAAAAATAGATAATTTGATTAAAGCTCACAAAATTCAACAGGAGAATTTAAAGAAAAATTACGAAGGAGAAATAAGGCGATTACAGCTCACTATAGAGTCTCAGAAGAAATCAGTAATTGTTAAATTGAACTTTATTAATTTCAGAGATAAAATAATAATAAACTTTTACTTGCAGATTGACAAGCTGACGGTACAGGCAAAGAAAAATTCTAATTTCAATCATCCGGCGTTCCAGGCTCCTTTTAAGCCTCTGAAGAAATCAAAGGCCAAAAAATCGACAGTTCAAGCATTCAAGTAAGTTTTTGAAGTTATGCTTCTTTTGGCGCATTTGGATGAGAGTGAAATTTGTGAGCTGCGCTCGCATTATTATTTATTATTTATTTATTCATAAAGAAAAGCCCTCGATAATTTACAACAACATGTTACATATTCATGTGTAGAATGTTTAGTAATGTTTATATAGATAGATAGATAGATAGATAATAAATTTTATTTGATCCTGGAGTTCTAAGTTCCTTCAGGACCATCAACAATACATAAAGTTAATTATTTACAAGTATACATTTGATACAGTATTTGCAATACAATTTGAAAATCAACATTAATTAATAACTATCATCTTAACTTATAAGATCAATGGTAATCATATTGATTGCAAGAAGAAATTAAAACAAGCTTGCTTAAAATTTTCAAAGGTGTCAATTTCTGTAATATCTCCCGGTAATGAATTCCAAATTCTTATGCCATGAATTAAGAAAGAATTTTCATAGATAAGCAGAATTACTTCTCGGTAAACGCAGATAGTCATTCCTACTTCTTATAAAATAGGCAAAAACGGATTAATTAAACTTGACGGACCACGTTGAATTTTTTAAATTACCACCAACTGGGTACGATTCAACCTTACAAACCCCAAATGGATTATTAAAACTATTCCAACTGAATAGGATTCAATTAGTATAATTTTTACTATGTGCATCAACTAGCATTTTTTACCAAAAATAAAAGATTCTGACACTCATGTCAGCTTCGCTCTTTCTGCCTTGATTTAACAACTTATAACCAAACAAAACTGTGTGTGACATTATCGATACAATTGAACTAACGATCGAGAATCTGAGTAGAAAAGTAATTAAAGTTACCGACTAATGAAATAATTTAAAAATTTTGCTAACGTAAGATTTGTCTACTAGCGCCCTCCCCCCTAAATAAGCA